TTGGCTTTGAGGGCATCGGTGGTTTGTGGCTTATTGGCATAGACCTGCGACTTAACATAACCCCACAAGAATAAGTCTAGCGTAGTTAAATCACACGATCTTGGTGGCCAGTTGACATCGCCTCCGCGCGAAACAACCATGCCCGGAAATCGCTCATGCAGAATATTGTTTCGTGCGCTGTGTGGTACGTTACACCGTCTTGTTCATCCATATCGTCCACCTTTCGTCAGAAGATGTCGGTAATCATCGACCTATAGCGCTATCCGTTGGCGATGATGACCTCGCCAGCGTCGTTTTTGAAGAAGTACGGACGATGACGCCTCGGGCCTAAAATGCACACCAAACTGTTACTTTCTGGGGATGCATTGCCACTTGGTGGACCTCGTGTGGATTGGTCTTGTCCCAAATTTGACAATTCCTGCGTCACCTTTCAAATAGACCAATCTACATTGATCGATTCTCTTCATCGACTCTCTCTTTAGTTAATAACTCGGTTCCAATAACATGGTCAGCTGTTCTTATTACCCAATACACTTAATAATACTTTCTTTTAACAGACTATATACAAAAACTAGCACGTAATATGACCAATAAAATGAATATTATAACCTGTTAAATCACTCACCTAATCAATTATCCTGAGCAAAAACTTCCACATGTGAAATGTAATCAAAATAGCCATTTACTATATTTTCATCATGTATGTATGTTGCACTCACAACTCTGCGTACGTACAACACAATTTATTTCTAAATGATATCAATCATCACACTAAATTACTATTATAAGTGAAATCAAGCTGAACATTGCATTATGTCCTAGGTAAAATTGACAGATTCTCTTTGGCAACTTTCTCTTTGCATCCTCATGGCCATGTTAAGACATTCCCAGCTATTTTCAGCTCACAGATCGTTGAAAAAGGCTATTATCCATCTTGTAATATGACAAACATGGCAAGAAAAGGTTCTATACCCAAGTTATTAACGAAAGAGAAAGTCAATGAAAAGAATCGATCAATGTGACTTAGGACCTAATGCAATTTTCAGCTTGAAGTGTCATAAAAGGATAGCTTATGTAACGTTATATCATCTTTAGACTGAACTTGGCGATAATCTGCACCAACTTTTCTATGATCCGTTATTTTGTAAAAAAAAATTTGTGCCGTTTTGAAAAAAAGAATCGATTCAAAAGATCAATTTTAAAAGATCGATTCCAAATGATTGATTAAATAGGAGAATTGATTATTTTAAAAAAAAAATCGATTCACTAAGATCGATTCTTGCTTCAAGATCGCCCAATGCTAGTTCACATACCCGTTCATCCATAAATGGTCCTCGTAGTCTGTTTCCAACTGCTCCAAAACCCACTCAGCGAACACACGGCGCTGTCTATGAACGTTAAGCTTGAGCTCTTGGGTAAATAGGATCTTGCATGGGTGCAGACCCAAGTCTCGACGCAGAATTCGCCACGTGGAAGCCTACGAGTGACCCAGTTCTTGTGCGCGGCGCGGAATCGACTGCCATGGGTTCTCCTGGACGCATATAGTGGCGATATTCTCGGCAGACCTTGCGTTCCGTTGACGTATGGGTGGTGGTTGAGCGTTCACCGAACCAGTTTCCTAGAACTTTTTCACCACATTGCGAATAGTCCTCTCGGTAGGACCTGAGGGAGCGTCGCGAAGAGAGAAAAATGGAACGTCGAATGCAGCCAGACAGCTGCTGTCACGAACTGTCATTTGTAGCCAAGCAATTTTATGATGCTTTTCGTACAGTTGAACAATAATGCACAAGGCGGTATTGAAATCTTGCGTAAAGTAATTTGTGACAAACTGTCGTTTCCAGCTATTTTATTCAATGGGACACCGTTTCTTTTTAATTCATTCAACATACACACAAATCAATATTGAAAGATACCATTAGCCAAGGTTTTGTCAAAAGATCTAGTGGCATAGTAAAATACCAAACGGAAAAATACAGTTTCTCACTGCACACTGAACAATCTCAAACAATCACTACACGATCAAAGCAAAACACGCTACGCCTGTTTTGATTTGATTTCAACGGCACAATTTTTCATGACAAGAAGAGCAAGTATACAATGAATTCCGTGTGTGCTATCTGCTTCTCCCTCCCAGGGTAGGACTCATATTGCGACCCTAAAATGGGCGAAGCGCTCGGAACGTTGCTCGCAAAGAACAGTTATCATCTAAATTCATGTAAACATTTTGAGATTCTTTATAAAATGGTAGGAGACACTGAACACACTTAATTCACTCTGTTTTCTCGAAATCCAGAGCAGTTTTTTCTCAGATAAGTTTCCACAAAGTTTCATCTAGACGGAAGGTAATGTTATGGGGTTATTTGCGTAAGATTGTGGAATGTATATACATATGTTTCAGAGGAGTATTTTTTGCACTCCCTTAGACTTTTTTTGGTCAGGCATGAAAATTCTAAATAACTTTTTGGATATTTATCCAAAACGAATGAAATTGTCTCATCTCAAAGCTGTGAATAAGTAGAACCAATTATAATCATGGTGTTTATTTTGAACAACGTTTTACTTGGAGTTGAAAACTCAGTTAGGGGAGACTTGATCCCCCAAAGATTAGAAGCACTTAGTCATGATATATGAGAGCGATAAAAAATCTTTGGTTGGGTGGACCAACGTATGTATCCCTTTGGAGGCTTTTGATTTTTTTTTATAAAAAAAATACAAAAGATATTCCCAGCAGTCATTTGGAGCAGAAACACTTTTTTTTTATAAAAATCCGTTTGAAAAAGAGAGGTTAAGTAAAAGATGTGCTTAGTATTCTGAAAACTAGATCTATGCCCTACAAAAAAAGTTACAACTTCTTGAACTCTTTTTGAGCGACGAAAAAATCACTGCTAGTACTGTATGATGCCTTTAGGTTTTATTATTATTATTCTTAGCAAAGTGATTCTTAGATACCAAGTTTTCTGCGCTCGTGCACGAAATATTGAATCGAATATATCCATGATTATATTTCCTTTCTCGCTAAACAAACACAATGATTCCAGATCTACTGTAAGATTCTGTACAGCAAATTTTAAAAATATGTTTCCGTACTTTCTGCAGCATATGATTTTCATATCTCAACCTACCGAAAAGGCAAAAAAGCAAGTACGGGAACAGACCTATTGTTCTCGTGAAACAGCCTCGTGGGAGAAGGAACGTCATTCCTATTCACACTTGCAGACCGAAGGAACTCATTTACCATCTATAGTATTTTCCTCTCTAACTCTCTCAATTGCTCAAATTCAAATAATCAAAACATTTCCAACCAGACATCCATCATGATTTTCACTATGGATTCTTCAAACAGAAAATTGCCGTATGTTACCCATTCATCGTTAACATTCTCGTATATTGCAAAATTTCTCGTATATGCATGGTATTTATCGCAATTACCAGCCGCACATAATTTATTTCTTGTTTTGAAACGATAAAAGAAGAGCTGGACCGCAAACACCGCACATGCGTACACTTTTAACCGATTGGGCTCTCCGTTGCTCTGGGATTGTTTTTGTTGTTGTAGGTTAGCTGGTCGGCTGGTCAGTTGGTTGGCTGGCTGCTCGGTGGTACAAAGTGTACCGTTCTCCAATGTGAGCCCACCATCCATCGTGATGGGTAGATTCTACTCCGCTTCGATGTGAGCCAGAAAGATCGGAATAACAACAGTCAGCAATGTTTACTACACCACTTTCCGATAGCTACACAAAACCTATGCTTGTGCTGATTTGTTTCTGTGAATGCAATTTAGTGCTAACTGTACAGCGGATAGCACTTTATCGTCTCAGCTTCTGCACTAGTTCCTGCCGATTTGCAAAGATACAGCAAAAACAGGCTCTTCTTTGGCTAGCATAGAGAGATTAGTATGCCCACGATCTGATTCATTCATTCGTTAATGTTCTTCGGACTTGCGCATGTCTACTTGAACAATACACAGGTGTGCTCAATGTTTTGAAAAGAGGGGAGGAATGTTCAACCATCAGGTAAGGGAGAACATCCCATAATGCACCCCTGGGGTGAAATGCCCACTTACAGAATAACAACGATAACTTTTCCTCAGATGCATTTTCCGGGTAACGGATTGTGATTGTTTTCAACTGGAAGTTTCCTGATCAAATCATATGTTAACCTACTGATTCCTTTTACAAATTGCATTTTGTGCAAAAATGACACAGTTGTTAAAATCATCGACTGCAAATTAAGGTTTTGACAGCATATTTCGCAAAAGAATGGAACGAATTCACCTTTCGTATATTTTTTAGAAGTTTTACTTCATGAATCACTGCTGTCGTGCGTCTTGCCCCAATGTTGTGGTGCATATTGCACCATGAATCAAGCGTTTTGCCCCACTATCCTTTTAAAACCGATTTATAAAATACCTTAAAAATCATGAAAAATCATCGTAGAAAACATGGTAATGAACCATACACTATTACTTTCTCCTTGATTTTAGCTTCCATACGCCAGACGATTTTGCTTAAATGGTGCGTTTTGCACCATTCTACCCTACTTGTACAAGCTCATTGAGATACTTCTATGACGCCTTATAGAGGTATTTTTTGTATGAATATGAGCAAAAAGAAAAGTTCTTCAAATGCATGATCAAAATCTGCTTGGAAGGGATCAATCATATCATCCATCCACTACGTCGCTGTTGAGAGAGTTTTCCAATCCCAGCAAGAAGAAATTTGTTTATCATGACGTAATCGACATGCACCGTCCGCTTTCGCTGCTCTCTTTTGATCATTATCTTCCACATTCGCTCCCGTCCGTATGCTTCTCCGACGGTTACTGCAGCTTAGGTCCCGAAGAGAGCTGCTGCAACTTGCGGAAAATTAGGTCTTGATTCAGTTGCAGCAGGTTTTACCTCGGGATTAGACACGCTTTTCCACACTCGCCGCTGCTGGTCAATATCGCGCTGAATACAGTTTTGATTTAATATCGGGCCTCTTTTCAATTTACTCGTGCAGGTTGAAGATCAAGGTGTCGATCCAAATTTACGTGACGGCGATGGTGCTACTCCACTTCACTTTGCTGCCTCCCGCGGGCATCTGACCGCAGTTCGGTGGCTTCTGAGCCACGGAGCCAAACTGTCTCTGGACAAGTACGGTAAAAGTCCAATCAATGACGCTGCAGAGAATCAACAGGTCGAGTGCTTGAATGCTTTGGTACAGCACGGAAACCGTGAACCTGACTACGTCGAATCGAAACAACTTAAACAATCCCAACGACATTCGGATGTTTACGGATCGCAACAACAGCTAGCGGTTACGCCTCAGCAGCAGAAACGGATATCGAAGAAGCACTCAAGTAGCCACCATCACTACAATAAGAACAAATCGTCATCAAACCATAATACGATGATGTCCAAGTCGTCCTCGGGTAGTTCAGACTCGGAACCATTCTACCTACATCCGCCAACGATTAGGCAAACCAAGGTGAAAAATTGTGTTGCGTTCAAAGTGGTTCAGTTTGGTTTTATCAGCAAAAACTTTCAATTTTAGGACGGTTTGTACACTCGTCAGTCTCCGGACAGTTACTATGGAACAGTGCCACCGAATGACGGCGTCTATATCAATCCGATGCGACACGGCTCGACCACGCCTCCGAGCCCCAGTGGTAGCGTGTCGGGTGAATCCTTCTTCCTGCACGATCCACAGGAGGTGATCTACAATCGGGTGAAGGACTTGTTCGATTCCGACCTCAGCAGCACCAAGGACGAACGGAACGTCAACTCCAGAGCAATGACAGGTGAGTGATATTAAATTGCACGAAAATTGTGTACGAACAGGCTTAGTTTTGATGTTTGGTGAAAATATAAACGGCATATAAATTATTTACATTTTTCATAAAAGTGAATAATTTTGTCAATCTAATAAAAATCAACTGTCGGATTGCATCAATAAATTCCAAAGTTGCAATAGACAACAAATATGTCCAATGTTCCGTACAGTTGTGACCTTCTAATTGAAAAACTGAATGATGAATTACAAACATTTATAAATCATATGTATTTCAACAAAATACCAAAGAGCCGAAAGAAAATGTGAAACTTATGAAGCCTTTCCATGACAAACATATTATTGGCGCTTCCATGAGCATTTTTTGAATTATTCATTGTCATTTTTTTTTTCAATTCTGTGAAAATACTCTATAATGTGAATTTAGTAGTAATAGTAGTCTTAGAGCTCTTGCTGTGATATTTAGACGGTTGGTGATTTTAGTGAAGTTTTCGTAATTTAGTGATTTTCGAAAACTAACTTTTTTGAAAATAAATACACAAGTTCTTTAGCAAAGCTGTTTCTGAACGTTCCCATGTTGGTGCAAATTTTTCTGAATTTAAATAGCGTGTACCTGACCAATGTAGTAGTAAATTGTATAAGTCGAATAAACTTTTAGGACTTGTTAAAATACACAGCTTTTCCGAATAAAGTAACTTTTATTAAAAAAAAAAACGCCATTTTCAAATGTAAATTACTTAGCATGGGGAAATACACACAAATGATAAGATTTGAAAGGACACAGCTTGAAGTAAATGATACGAAAGCATTAGCGATGTGTTATTTTATAAACTCACATAAAATCAATTTGACTGAATAAAGTATATATAATTGGAAATTACTCTTTTATGAAATACTAAAAACATGCGTCATGGATCATGGTAGGATTTCGTGAGTTTTTTTTTCAGTTAAAAACAATCTATTTGCTGCCCAGCGATATAACCTCGACCGTGCATGATCTTTTGTTCGGTTAAGTTAGAATAATGATTAGAAGAATTAGTAATGTCGTTTATAAAGCTAAAAAATTGCTTAAAACTCTTGTAATTTTAATTAGTTGTGTTTGGATGAAGGTTTGGCGCACAGCTAGCTGCGTTGTGTTTGGAAAAGTTGTTAGTGATTTGTTCAGTCACTTATGATACTTTAAGTGTACTATTTTGATCCTGATGAATGTGGGCGTCTTAGTGGAATACCTGTATAATGAGAGAGAGAGAAGGATTAGTATTTTCCATTTAATTCCACAACTTTATTTGCTTATCATTGACAGATACGTGTATTTCGTCTACAATGTGCAGACTTCTTCAGTGTCTTGTACTAATACTCGACTGAAGAAAAACATCGCATTTACCGAATATATATTAACAAAGGCACATTTTCACTTAGAAACTAGGTAAACTTAAATTTAATTTTCTATAGGAACAGGTACTCCGCTGCTTACTCGTTGATGTGTCCTAGGTAGTAACTTGAAAAGCCATGTGTGTCCGTTTTCTTGATCCCTGTTGAGTAAAGTTAAATTACGTTGTTTGTTGATCTCGAGGCTTTCTGCAACATCCAATTTCCATGGTGTAGATACGGTTCGTAAAATCGTGATGTCCTCCGTCGATAGTTGGTGGTCCTCTCCCAAGTAACATTGCAAGTTTTATCGAGGTTTTAAAGCATGCTACAAGTCTAAATCATGGTCTTCAGAACTCTCTTAAAACCAATAATGTTACATGGGCTGTGAAGATGTGTTCTGCAACCTTTGATTTGAAATCATATGTTAGGCCTTTTTCCTCTTGCTTTTTGGCCTTAAATATGTTCTATATGTTCTTTGAATCTAGTTGCTAAAGTTCTCTTGGTTTGTCCTACATATACTTTGTTACAATGATTACAGCTTATTTTATATACACCTGCTTTACCTAAAACATTAACTGGCTCTTTAGTGGATCCTAACAATGATTTCAACTTGTTATGTCTACTGGTGAAAACTAAATCTAATCCGAATTGTTTTAACTGTGGTCTTAGCTTACAAGTAATATCTTGATCAAATGGAACGGACACTCGTTTCAATAATTCAGGTGCTGCGGTGAGGGTTGTAAATAATCTCCTTTGTTGAATTCTCGCTTTTTTATCGATGATTGCCTGGATTGTGGTCTCCTTGTATCCGTTGAGTCTTGCTGTTTCGAAGATGTACTGTAATTCCTTAACCTTTCCTGTATCGCTGAGTGGAAGAGTCTGCATTCGATGAATCATGTGGTTGAAGGCGGCCATTCTCTGCTGGAACATATGGTTGGAAGTATAGGGGTTAACTCTTTTGGTGCTTGTTCGTTTCCTGTAAATTTCGTATTCAAGCGAGGAAGATGATGACGATTCCCTGATGACTAGAAGATCGAGAAATGCGAGTTTCCCGTCTTTTTCTACCTCGTGAGTGAATTTGATATCCTTGTGAATTCTGTTGATCTCATCTAAAATTTGTGGAAGGGCTTCCCGTTTAACTACGCTGAAGATATCGTCAACAAACCTCCACCAACGGTTTGGTAATAGTCCTTTCTCCTTCAGGATTGTCTCCAAGTTGGCCATGAAAAGTTCACACAAGAAGGGGGAAACGGACACACATGGCTTTTCAAGTTACTACCTAGGACACATCAACGAGTAAGCAGCGGAGTACCTGTTCCTATAGAAAATTAAATTTAAGTTTACCTACACAGCTAAAAAAAAGTAGTGTAAATTTCCGTTACTATGATGCACATAAATGGAGCATCATATATCATACAATTTTAGATTATAGATCGTGTAAATTTATGAGACATGTCATGCAATATTCGTCCACTTTTGTTTGCAACATTTCTTGCAAGCTGCTAGTTTACGTGAAAAGGAAGTTCACATGTATGAATGTTTGCATGCATGGATGTTTACATCGCCAGTAAAATTCAGAATTTTTTGGTGTGTAGTTTCTAAGTGAAAATGTACCTATGTTAATATATATTCGGTAAATGCGATGTTTTTCTTCAGTCGAGTATTAGTACAAGACACTGAAGAAGTCTGCACATTGTAGACGAAATACGCGTATCTGTCAAGGATTAGCAAATAAAGTAGTGGAATTAAATGGAAAATACTAATCCTTCTCTCTCTCATTATACTATTTTGATGTTTTATTAAATTATGTTATGCACAAGGTCGCGCGGGTACTCGGATCTTGTTATTTGTATGGTTACGACAACAACTCGATCATAGATGGTATTATGTGATATGAGGGGCTTGGTGGCCTTAGAGCGACCACTTTTGCTTACTGAGAAGAACATCATGAGTTTATTATCAGGCCGCTCCACATTCAAGCCTTGTTAATTACTGTTGCAATACAAAGAGCTCGTTTGCCTAGTGGCAGACGTGTTTGCTTACTGAGCAGAACACCTTGGATTTAATTTCAAGCTCCTTCGCGTTATAAGATCGTTAGGATATCAATTCAGCATATCGTTTACCAAAACGAATCCTACTGCAAGCCCAACTCTTTTATCCAAAATCCCAGTGATTTTTCGTGGAAGTGCAAAGGATTTCTCGGCTTCCAACATAGCGGATATCACGTCAACATATTCCTACCTACCAGTCTCTTGAAAATGATTTTCCTTATATAATTAAAATTATAAAGTTACAGATAGATTTTAGGTAGCCACCCTAACGACAAATGTACACAAAATATGCTAGAACTGCTGTTTCAATATTAAGACGTCTTTGGTGAAGTTGTTAAGCTTAAAAAGTATTTTCTTTTGGTTTGTGTAGAGATGGTTCTCAAATAAGTTGATTCTCATGAACCAACCAGGCTTGCTTCCACTAACTTCCTATAAAAATGATTTTCTGAATTTTGAAATCATTAGATGTTATTTATTTTGATATTTTGTACTTGTTAGATGCAAGAAGAGGTTGAAAGGCAAGAGTTTGGTGTATAAAACCAGTCAAATTCGCTTTCAGATAGTCACAATAAGCAATTTTACGACTCGCGAGCGCTCACTCTGAGTGAACGCTTACGAATAATAAAATCGCTGATTGTAACACTTTGGAAGCGAAACTGACAGGTTTTTATGTGTTAAACACTTGCCTTTCAACCCCTTTTTATATCCCACATGTACAAAATATCATTATAACATCTAATTATTTCAAAATTCAGAAAATCTGCTTTCATAGCAAGTGAGTGGAAGCAACTCTGGAATCAACTTTATTATTTTTGAAAATAAAGAGTTACACTAACCAATTAAGTTATTTTGATGAAATTCCAAGAATTGTTTTTTTTTTCTTTTTTTGACGTTCACATTTTAGAGTATTCTTTTAGAATTTACTTAGGGTGCTCCTAAAAAACATTTTTATATTTAAATTTTCTTATGAAAGGCATCTTCGAGAAATTTAAAAAAAATGTGTAGTACACATGTGTCGCAAAAAAAATGCTGTTTTCTTTTCATAAAAAAAAATACACCCAATTATAAAAAAAAATGATCTATGTTATATTGATTATAGCCCTTTCAAATAGAAACATGAAAAGTTATATGTATTTACCCCATGTTGAACAATTAACATTTGTAAATGACATATTTCCTTTGTTATCTATCGTAAAACTAACGTTTTAACGTTTAGAATTCATCACGTTTTTTCGTCTGTGTCCAATAGCCACCCACACAAACTATTTCACCTATATAAAACATTCAACAGTTTTATCACGACATCATATAATCAAATTGCTTAAGGCATCGGCTCAGCAAGAGGATTTCCTCTACAGCCACCCGTTACACATAAAGATGAACATGACCATCAATTTCGTTCGTCGGATTCGGAAACTCAGTTCAAACCTATCACCGTCATTGCTGAACAGCATAATAGACCAACATCTTAAGATCAACCACTATCCGGCCTCGCTCCGACACCGGCTGATCAATCAATGCTTTGAACGGGAAACTTGAAAAAAATATAATGCATTTCTTCCAACACCAATAATACATGAAAAATTTA